TTGCAGAAACAAAGCTTGTTGTTGCGAGCCTTTGTGTGTGCCTCGCAGGGAATTGCAAGAAAAGCGTGCGTTCACGTGTGCTTCTGTCTTTCTTGACCGGAAAATTTTTGGTCGGACTTGGTCGACTGGGATTAAACTAGATTCTCGGCCACGAAGAGGGAACGAGAGCGAGAGCGAGAGCGTTTAGGTCGCGACAAGTCAAGATCGTGTCTTGACCGAGTTTAGAGTAATTAATTCGACCAAGACCAGGTAACGATCGCGTTGTTGTTGGCAATATGATAGGTGCATGATTTTGAAGTAGGAACGTTGTTTGTAGCCTGTCTCTGGTCGCGATGCAGCAATTTGGTCGCGACGTCACGCAAAGATGACAATGATCTCTGTCAGAGTTAACGACCCAACTAGCTACGACCTGCCGATATTAGTGGTAGTAATAACAGTAATTTAACTACGGTATTCAATGTAACCAGGGGAGTGTGTTTAGCGAAACAGGACGCTTGTTACATTAAGGTTCGTGACACGTCGCAGGAAGCGTCTTCGTGATACACGTAACATTACGTAATGCAATAAACGATGCGTCTGGCGCAATATAACCGGCGCTCGTTGAACTAACGACGGGTCGTGCGGTCGTGACGCACGGGCCATCGCTGTCCCTAATTGCCAATTTAAAGTAATCAGAGTAAAAGGAGCGAACGTCTGGTCATTGCTTTGTGCAGAGAGGCATACGTCGTGATCATTAACGTGGATATCAATCGTGTCGTGTAAATTAATATCGACCGGTCTTTGAACTCTCGATACAAGGGGAAACAGAAAAAAAAAAGGAAAAAGAAAAAAGAAAAAAAGCAAAAAGGAACACAGAACAACGAGCGAAGCGACAGGCGTGATTATTTCGCGAAATTCGAGTGAACCGAACTGTCTCGTTTGTCTCGCGGCGAGGACGATCGTAGCGAAACGAACGAGGGCAAGAGAATCTCGTCGTTGAAATCGTTGTCGATATTTACTCACGAGCTGCGAGACTGTTATGACAAATACTCACTGCATCAGCTTCTGGATTCCCAAACTTTGCAGAACCGTCGGCAACGAAGGCAAAGAGTAGCAGAGCGACAGCTCGATACGAGGATAATAAAGAGTGGACACTAAACAAGTTTCTTCCCTGGTCGTTAAACCGCCGAGCGTGATTGCTTGCCTAGATTTCGACGAGTATGTACATTCGGCCACCAAGTGATCACCCTGCAACAAAAACACGCGCATCCACCTATGATTAGTCTATATGCAGGAATATCGAACAAACAAGAACAAGCTTTTCATTTTCCGATTTCATCCTCGTGTTCTCCGTCGTGGATCGCAATTGAAATCACCGGAGAACAGAAATAACAGAAGGACCAAACTCGACTCGACTCGACTCGATCGAGTCGACGATCGAGGGAGGAGAAAGGAACAAACGCTCACCGGATAGACTCTGACGGGCTTCTGTAATTTCCGATACTCCTGATAGCTAGGATCGTAATTGGTGTCAGACGCAATGGGTGGCAGCTCCTCGCCAGACCTTATCTGACGCAATCGGACCTTCCTCCCTAGCTGATGAGTATGCATGATGACGGCGAATATGTTGATGCCGCTGTTGGGTATGGTGTGCCCGGTACAGTCTGAGATGCAGTGACCTTCGGAGACCACCTCTGGCTGGCCAGGCGGTATGATGTGCCTCCAGTTCGGATCGATGCCAACGCTCAGGATGCCGGCGTCGTGGGTACGCAGCTTGTCCGTGTAATGCAAACGCAGGCCGGAGCTGTCGCTGATGAACGCGTCCATCTGCGGGTTCATGTAGTGCGTTTCCAGCATGTAGTAGCGTGGCCCCGCGTGCGGATCGAGCGCGTAGCCGGCCTCCGGCGGATAATTGAAGCCCTACGAGAAAAACCGTGGCGAACGTTCGATTATACACGTTCGGCTCGGAACGTGCCTGACGTGATTCGAGAATCGGAAGCGTCGGATTCATGGTCGACCAGTCGAAGAGCTCGCGCGAGCTCTTTTCGCTTCTGTCGGGGATAAATGATTGCTCGTCGTGATTTACGATAAATATTTGCACGGTGAATTTTTCGTCGGAGCGACGCAGGTGTGTACACGAAACCGTTGATAACTTCACAAAAAAGTCAAACGATCGTTGGTCATGTTTTAAAGTACGAAGTAACTTCGCATTAACAGCTCCATGTTAATTCTTTTCAGAGATGTTTTTTACATCGTGTAGTGGAAGAGCAAGGATACTTTTTGTCCAAGTGTCTCTGAGAAAGTTAAAAAATTTTTTCCCGACTTGACATTGAAGTGTTTTTTTTTACAACAATCTTTTAAAACTTGCTGTACGATCTTTCCCCGCCGTTAAGATTCGATGAGAAAATGTTAGAATTTCTTGAATTTTTCTCGTTTAACTTTATCGTTCAAGATTTAATAAAATGACGAGCAAAAATCATACAGTAACTTTTCAATAGTTGACAAGACTTCAATCTTCAAGATTCAGTCATGGAAAAGTGTTATAACTTCGTGAGAAGAAACAATAAATCTTAAAGGATTTTTGTAAAAGACAGACCCGAATCTTCAAGATCATGGTGGATTTAGTAATAAAACAAATTTTTCAGTCTGTAAACGCTGAAAAATTTTCGAGAGAGAAAGTATCGTTACATGCTTTCTTCAAAACGATGTAAAATCATTTTTGGAAAAAACAAACTTAGTACTATGGTAATACTGTAATACTATATATATATATATAGAGAGAGAGAGAGAGAAAGAGAACGAGAGAGAGAGATTATACATTAATAGATTCGTTTGAGTTTGAATTTAACAAGGAATTTTATGAAAATTCAAAGTACAGTGTATCATCAATTTCTCTACTTTTTTTTTCAATTTGATAAAAGACTGAGTACCAAAAGCAAAAAGTGTGAAGACTTTTGAGCGACAGTGTATGTACTTGAGCCACGTTATTTTAATTATTATTTCATTGATTACTTATTACGAGGTAAATGTAGCGTGCCTAGTTTAAAGTAGAGTAAGCATAGATTTACCCGACTCTAGGTATGTATAAATCATATTTGAAATATAATCGAGATTTGAATCAGTGACGAGGGTAATTACACCAAGGTAAATCACTGTCCACGAATGTTAATCCGACGTCATCGTGAGACAAGCGTAAGAGACATACCGGTGCAATGTCAGGCAGTATCGCTGTAATTCTGGGTTTTGTGTAATGCATACCAATGCCGAAGGCAAAAGAGAGGGAGATAGCGAGTGAGAAAGAGACAGAGAGAGAGAGAGAGAGAGAGAGAGAGA